TTAAGTGATCAGGGTTGATAAGAGAAGATTCAGAAATAGTCTGAAAAGATCAAAACATCATCTTCCTATTTCTAGGCTCTGCCTCTGTAAGGTTCTCAACTTCTTAATCTTCCATTTTAAGATCTACAACCTTATTTTCAATCTTTATTTCTGAAAAGGTGCTTTGAAAAGTTTTAAAATCATTTATTTGTAAAACATTACCCAATGATAGGAAGCTATTTATAGTTTTTATGGTTTTTCCTCAGTTTTTTTTTCTTATCCCTTCTATTTAGGATATTAGTTCTTGACTCTCAAACATTTTATTTTAGATAATTTCAGTTAAAAACTCAGGATTTTACATTGAACCTGAGTTTGAACACAGTTAGAAAAATGCTGGTCTTAAACTGAACTGGCATGGCCAAGCCACGTAATCTCTTTGACTCTCCATATCGGTCAGTAAAATTGGAATAACAAGGGCTAAATGCAGTAGCTCATGCCTGTAATCCCAGCACTTTGGGAGGCTGAGATAGGAGGATTGGGGAGGTCAAGGTCAGTCTGCCTGGGCAACATAGCAAGATCTTATCTCTACAAAAAAAAAAAAAATAGTAATAATACTTCACAATATTGCTGAGACAGTGAGAACTTATGTATTAAATGTCATTTAATACCAGGGACCTAGTCAACATTTAACACAAGTTAAGAATTGTTTTTGTTGTTGTTTCTGGTAAAATCTTGGTCCTCTTTCTTCCTTTTTCCAGTGAACAAATTTTTCTGGGTGCCTACTGTATTACCAACATTGTGGTAAGTGCCAGAAAAACAACCATGAATAGGATGCTATCCATGTCTTTCGTAAGCTTTCCTCGACGACTCTGTTAGAAGCATCCCAAACTAAAACCTACTGAGTGGGTCCTTACATAGATACACATGCACTCACAATGATAGGATTACTGTCCTTCTGATGAAGAATTCCTCTACTTTATGTTTTATTCCTAAAAAGAACTCTCTTCTATCTGCATCATTAATTCTATCCTTCTTTTCAATTCCCACCCTACCCATAGATATGATTTCTGAAATAAAATGTTTTGGGAAAACTATCACTACTGTGGAAGAATCTAGTTCTGTCATATCCTCCTATTCTGTGCTTTCTCTGAACTCTTTTTTCCATGTTCTGTCAAAATATCTCAGGGAAACCAGCTCAATTCTTCTCAAATTCCTAATTTAGCCTACCTCTAGCTACAGATAAACTGAGTATCACTAGATAGCCCTGGGGAAGGCTATCTATTTTTGCCTTTTTTTTTTTTTTTTTTTGGCGGGGCAGGGAAGGGTAGTCCTCTCAGGAACAGAAAGGAGGTGAACACAGGTTGATGAATGTCTACCTTTCATCAAGATACAGTTAGAGGGGATGAGGTTGTAGTTCATCAACTGGGAACCACTTTCCTGTGAGACCCCAACATTTTGCCCATTCTTACCTTCCTGGAACCCCATAGATGAGGTTACTGCCCTATTATTCTGGAAGTGCCCTGAATCCTAAGCCTTAGGATCTTGAAGGCATGACTACAACTACTCTCTCTGCCAAGGTTCTCTTCTCATTTTTCACTAAAGCCCATTAGACCAGGTCTAATGAAGTTCAGTTTTAAAGGTCAACCAACTGTTACACATTTAACATCTCTCAAGTGTGAGATAAGATTGTAAAATTACCTCCACTTGACATGGATAATTTATCTGTGTTTTCATTTGTGTTTTTTATTTTTTTGCCCGCCCCTCACTCTTCATAGGATTGGAAAAATTGGACTTTCTTTCCAGTCAGTCTCTTTTTTTCTACCCTTAAATGTAGGTATTTCTCTGTCCTATTTGTTTTACATTACATTTACCCCAAGACTGACTCAAATTTTCATCTCTACTGCAGAGCTTTTTCATAATTTCCTGTCCCATATATCTTTTTGCTCATCCAAACTCACTTTGGAAGTTCCATTAGCATATTACATTTGCTACGTCCAAAACTGAACAAAGTATCTTCTTAATTCCTACCCTGAATCTGTGCTGCTTCCTGTATTTCTTGTCTTTGTTAATGTTATCACTTTACTCATTTGTGTTAGTTTGTTCTCATGCTGCTAATAAAGACTTACCAGAGACTGGATAATTTATAAAGAAAAAAAGGTTTAATGGACTCACAATTTGACATGGCTGGGGAGACCTCACAATAATGGCAGAAGGTGGAAGAGGAGCAAAGGCACGTCTTACATGATGGCAGGCAAGACAGCATGTTCAGGGGAACTCCTTTTTATAAAACCATCAGGTCTCGTAAGACTTATCCATGACCATGAAAACAGTATGGGGGAAACCACTCCCATGATTCATTTATCTCCATCTGCCCTGCTCTTGACACATGGGGATTTTTACAATTTAAGGTGAGAGTTGGGTGGGGACACAGCCAAACCATATCACCATTCATCTCCCATTCTTCCCTTTCTCTCACCAAGACCGTTGTTTGATTCCACTTCCTGGACTTTCTTGAAATCATTTCACTCCATCCTTTGGCTCCCCTCATCTCATTAACATCCATCACCTTTACGGGGGCTTAAAAACTTGTAATTTTTCTAAAACAGAAATTTGATTATGATCTTTCCTTTTTTCTTGTTTTTGTTTGAGACAGAGTCTCGCTCTGTGGCCCAGGCTGGAGTGCAGTGGCTCAATCTCAGCTCACTGCAAGCTCTGCCTCCTGGGTTCATGCCATTCTCCTGCCTCAGTCTCCCAAGTAGCTGGGACTACAGGCACCTGCCACCACACCAGGCTAATTTTTTGTATTTTTAGTAGAGACCGGGTTTCACCATGTTAGCCAGGATGGTCTTGATCTCCTGACCTCGTGATCCTCCTGCCTCAGCCTCCCAAAGTGCTGGGATTACAGGCATGAGGATTATGATCTTTTCTTAAAAACAGTTTTCTCCATTCCATCTATTTTGGAAAAAAATTGATAATTTCCAAATTCACTGAAAGATGTACAAGACTTCATGAACTGATCTTTAACTGACCTTCGAGTCACATCAGTTGTCATTCTTTCCGTGTACCTTCCGCTTATGCTGTACTGAAGGACTGATCATGCTTTTTCTTGCTTTTATGGTTTTGCATCTGACATTCACTCTCTGTTTTCCCTCCTGTCTACCTGCCTAAAATGTACTTGTATTTCAAGATTTTGCTCAACAGTGTCATCTCTAAGAAAATTTCCCTAACATTTCTCCTGACCCTCTACGCTGTTTACTTTTTCTTTTTTTTCGAGACAGAGTATTGTCCTGCTACCCAGGCTGGAGTGCAGTGGCACAATCACAGCCCAGTGCAGCCTTAACCTCTTGAGCTCAAGCCATCCTCCCACCTCAGCCACCTGAGTAGCTGGGACTACAGGCGTGTGCCACCACATTTGACTAATTTTTGTATTTTTTTGTAGGATGGGGTCTTGCTATGTTGCCCAGGTTAGTCTCAAACTCCTGGTCTCAAGTCATCCTCTGGCCTCAGCTTCCTAAAGTGCTGGGATTATAGGCATGAGCCACTGTTCCAAGCCTGTGTAGCTTTCTTTGTCTCCTGTCATAACACATATCACACTGCTTTGTGACTGGCCTCTGACTTCTTATATTTCAATTTTGCTTCTTGAAGGTAAGGGCTATCTTTAATTTTGTAACCACAGCCTAGCACAACATTTGACACATAATTAATTACACAACTGTCATTGTGTGGTTCTGTAACTTCTTATATTCTTTTCAAAAGCTTAAGCGGTCATTTCGTTTTTTACATGAAGTTCTTAAAGCAACCAAAGCTCAGAAATATTGGAATCTCACTTTTATGAGCAATATATGCCAGAATTGGGGTTATCTTTTGGAGCAGAAGTGTCCACTCCATACTGAAAAGAATATAGAATTAGAAATAGTATATAGAACTAAGTTCTGCCTATTTTGTTTATTCCGCTTAAAATTTCCTGCCAAAAACCAGAGAATCCATCTTGGAACCTGGTTTTCTTATTTTAAATTTGGTGAGAACTTTGGAAGAGAAGTTAAAGAAAGTGTCAAAAGTTAATTTTCATTGCTATAAATGATATTTTCTTTAAAATGTATTTAGACCATAGGAGGAACAGGCATTTTTCCTCCCCTTTGTCCTTGCAAATTTCTTGACTGGCTATCATGGCTCATAGTATGTAATCGTTTCCTGAAAAGTCCTATTTTTCTTTTCCTTTGTTCCTGTTGTCCTATATTAGGGTTTAATAAACTTGCTGTCCCTTCTTAGGGTCAATTGCAAGCAATATTTTATCAAACCAAATTCTGCATTTTTAACTTAATGACCTCTATAGGCTCCCTAGAGACACTGCAAGTAAAGCTAATGAATTCTCTTTTTACTATTAGATCTTGTATTTCTGTGAGCTATTAAAACTAGCTGTTATAAAACAACAAATTAAATGCCACCGATTTTCTTGTTTTTAGGGGTTCCTTCAGGATTCTCAAGTACTATTGGGTCAGAAAATCTGGGAGAATGATAGTTTACTTACTGATGAAACTGCTATATTACCATCATTGGTTAAGCTGGAGTACACCTTAGTTTGAGAGTAAACTATATAAAATGAAGGCCACTATTTTAGGTGGATGCCTGGTAGTACCTATCAGTATACCCTTGCTTCCTTATGGAGCTCTCTTTTTTGTAATTCATTTAATGAGGTCCTTTGATTCCTTGGTTATCAAGTGAAGATATTCTTTTTTAACTCAAAATATATTTATAAAATTAATTTTATAAATAGTGGATATTAGAGTTTAAAAAGAATGTATTTTTGAATGGAGACGAATATCAATATTTTGCAACAATTAAATCGTAACAATTATTTTCTTCTAAAAGTGTAATTTTCTTGAGGATGAGATATCTTTGTTTTCTTGTTAACCATAAGAGTACATTGGTAGCTTGTGTTCGGTTGTTGGTTAAATGAATGAGTTGAGCCATGCCTGTAGGACTGAATAACTGCTAATACCATCTACCATTTCTGTTTATAGGTACTACCATTTAAAGATACCTTCTTCTCAGCAAATCTATGATAAAAAATATAAGTAACAGAAGAAATAACTGTTATTTGTCAAGTGACAAGCTTTTAATGTCAGAATGGCTCACCTAAAGCGACTAGTCAAATTACACATTAAAAGACATTACCATAAAAAGTTCTGGAAGCTTGGTGCAGTAGTTTTTTTCTTTATTATAGTTTTGGTGTTAATGCAAAGAGAAGTAAGTGTTCAATATTCCAAAGAGGAATCAAGGATGGAAAGAAACATGAAAAACAAAAACAAGATGTTAGATTTAATGCTAGAAGCTGTAAACAATATTAAGGATGCAATGCCAAAAATGCAAATAGGAGCACCTGTCAGGCAAAACATTGATGTTGGTGAGAGACCTTGTTTGCAAGGATATTATACAGCAGCAGAATTGAAGCCTGTTCTTGACCGTCCACCTCAGGATTCAAATGCACCTGGTGCTTCTGGTAAAGCATTCAAGACAACCAATTTAAGTGTTGAAGAGCAAAAGGAAAAGGAACGTGGGGAAGCTAAACACTGTTTTAATGCTTTCGCAAGTGACAGGATTTCTTTGCACCGAGATCTTGGACCAGACACTCGACCTCCTGAGTATGTTGAAGAATATTTATTGTTTATTCTTTATCATCAGGCTTTGCAGGGGACAGAGGGGTGAGCTAAGGAAGTTGCCTGTTCTTTAGCTACTCTAAGGCAGAAAATCAGCAAATACTGTTTATTTAACCTGTTGTATTTATTTTTTGCTTATAATGATTGAGGCTACATATCCCTATTTATGCTTGGTGAGGCAGTACAGATATGAAAATTATTAGCTTGGAAATTAGAAAACTGAATTCTAGATCTGACTGCTATCCACAAGGAAATCCTTTATTCCTAAATACTATAGCTTTCTCATCTATTTAGGGGGAATTATTGGACAATTTTTATGGGAAATATAAAAGGTAGAGGAATTGTTTCCATTTCTCTGTGTATTTCTTTAGAATAAAAATGTTTAAAAATATGCCAAGATTTTGGAACTGATGGATAATATTTTATAGATTTGTAAACCAATTCACAGTCTTTGTGATTACTTTGACTCAAAGTCTTTGAGTACCTAATTATATTTCAGAATGCCCTATTTTTTGTGAACAATCCCGAGTAGCTGGGATTACAGGCCCTTGCCACCGCAGCTGGCTAATTTTTTGTATTTTTAGTAGAAACGGGGTTTCACCATGTTGCCCAGGGTGGTCTTGAACTCCTGACCTCAGGTGATCCGCCTGCCTCGGCCTCCCAAAGTGCTGGGAATACAGGCGTGAGCCACTGCGCCTGGCCCACCCTCAGCAGATTATTCATTATTATTATTATTATTGCTATCATTATTTTGAGATGGAGTCTTTCTCTGTCACTGAGGCTGGAGTGCAGTGGTGTGATCTCGGCTCACTGCAACCTCTGCCTCCCGGGTTCAAGCGATTCTCCAGTGTCAGCTCCCAAGTAGCTAGGACTACAGGCATGCAGCACCACTTCTGGCTAATTTTTGTATTTTTAATAGAGATGGGGTTTCACCATGTTGGCCAGGCTGGAGTGCAATGGCACGGGTCTCCGCTCACTGCAACCTCTGCCTCCCAGGTTCAAGCGATTCTCCAGTGTCAGGCTCCCGAGTAGCTGGGACCACAGGCACACAGCACCCTGTCCGGCTAACTTTTGTATTTTTGAAAGAGACAGGGTTTCACCATGTTGGCCAGGCTGGTCTCGAACTCCTGACCTCAAGTGATCCTCCCACCTCAGCCTCCCGAAGTGCTGGGATTATAGGCGTGAGCCACTGCACCCAGCCCCTCAGTAGATTTTTAATTGTACAAGATAGGCCAGGTTTGGTGGCTCACACCTGTAATCCCAGCACTTTGGGAGGTCGAGGAGGGCAGATCACCTGAGGTCAGGAGTTCAAAACCAGCCTGGCCAACATGGTGAAACCCCGTCTCTTTTAAAAATACAAAAATTAGCCGGACAGGGTGCTGTGTGCCTGTGGTCCCAGCTACTCGAGAGCCTGACGCTGGAGAATTGCTTGAACCTGGGAGGCGGAGGTTGCCGTGAGTGGAGATCCGTGCCATTGCACTCCAGCCTGGGCGACAAGAACGAAACTCCATCTCCAAAAGAAAAAGAAAAAAAAAGTACAAGATAAGCAAACTGGAAGCAAACAATGCCTATGTATTTAGCTTTGCTTTCTGGATATTAGAGAATTACATTTGGCGGTGAACTTGAAGATAACTTTTGGTCTATTGTTTCACTCAGGTTTTTCTAGATTTAGGATTATCAATACCGGATCCAACTATATGAGTCCCTTAACGTTGAAACTGTGTAACTTAGATTTCTGTTGAGCTATTCTAGTCTGATTGATTCAAGTTTAAGTTGCTTATAATTTTTAGATGAATGTGTAAAGAAACTAATATCTATAAAATATTCTAGCTGTTATAACAAGGCACATTATAGTTCCTTTTATATAGTAATAGATTAGAATGCAGTATTGCACTTTACTGATTTGAGGAGAGTTTTTGACTGAAAGTCATCTACATTAAAAATCAATAATCATGATTTTTATTCTTTTGACATGACTATCAGTGACAGTGACAGCTCAAAATGAACTTTTTTCTCCCAATATAGCATTAAGAAGCTGCAATAATTTTCAATAGTGTTAATCACTAAGTAAGTGAAAAACAAGCACATTAACAACATTTTTTGGTTGGAGTTGAAGATTTAATTATTTCTTACTTTGGACAGGGTTTGTACAGGTGGTAAAGATTTGTTTTTTGACTTCATGATCCACCCGCCTTGGCCTCCCGAAGTGCTGGGATTAAAGGCATGAGCTACCGCGCCTGGCCTGGCCAACATGGTGAAACCTCATCTCTACTAAAAATACATAAATTAGCTGAGCATGGTGATGCACGCCTGTAGTCCCAGCTACTTGGGAGGCTGAGGCAGGAGAATCGCTTGAACCCGGGAGGCGGAGGTTGCAGTGAGACAAGCTTGCACCATTGTACTCCAGTCTGGTGACAGAGCAAGACTCTGTCTCAAAAAAAAAAACAAATTTTGTTTTGTACTTCGAATGTAGCCAGTATCAGCAAATAACACGTTTTCTGAAGAACTGCTAATGTTTTCCATGCTCATTAGAAATACAGCTCTAGTTTCTTCCAAAGCCAGATGGTCATGTGACTGATAATTTAGGCATGTTTCTATGTGCCAGGTTTTTCAAATGGTTTGACTGGGATGATACAGTTGCTTTGGCAAGTTATTTTAATTGCACTATTCTAAATGTGTAAAACAATTTTCAAAGCATACATTTAACATGTTAATTGTTTCAAAAGGAATGGAGTTTATGAAAGTATATTGTGAAATTTTATTAATTATGTTAATGATATAACATGACATTTTTACTTGATATTGGTTATTATCAGTTAGGCAAATAAATCCTAGTTTAAACTGATGGAAAATTTTGCAAGATTAAAGTGATAACATTTTACTAGTATGAATTTTTGTGAAATTTTATAATTTAAATCTTCAAAATCATTTTATAATTATCGATTAATACTATATTAATTAACCACACAGCAAATAAAGGTAGGAAAAAAATCTTAAACTAGAATTTCACTTTCTCCTCAAAATGCTTATAACAAATCATGAGTTTCCTCTTTTTTTCTTTAAAAATAAAATACCATAGTATGGAATTTTTCGTAATTTTTCCTTCTAGTTTATGTTGGTTATAAACTTTTATGGGTTCAAAATATAAGCTTATATTTAGTTATTTATTTCTGTGTAATTGTGGTTCAAGTGTGTATATGAATAGTTTGTGTTTGAGCTTTTTTTTAATTGGCAGTTTATCCAAAATTCAATTTAGAATAAATAATTTTATTTATGAATGATTAAGGTGCCCGTGCACCTGTATCATGCTTTGAAATCATGAAGAAACTGAAGAGCAGTGCCACTTTCACTCAGAACCCATCCTCTCCTTTTTCTAATCTGTTGTTGACATCTTCTCTTGATATTTTGCTCCAATCCAACTCCTTTTTTATCACTACAAATATTCCATTTGAAAGACTTGCTGTTAGAAAAGGGTATCAGAGACATTCCTATTGAGGTATGACTATGAAAGTAATTAATGGGATAATTTGTGTATCTTTTTTTAGGGTGGTTTTCTCAGGCCCCTAATATCACACTGGAAGCTACAGTTTCCCCATTGGCCCTGGCAGAGCAACTGAAGGGTGTTGGGCTCTTATCTCCATGAGTAAATTTAAATAATATTAAGAAGAACATAGGTTTTACAGTAAAGCTATTTTTTCCCTTTTGATTCTGTATACAGATTAAGTAAATTGATTCAATAAGTCTAGGAAATAAGAAACCTATATTACATACTTAGGTAAATATGTAATTAAAGATGATCTTTATAAAAATGATTTAATAGGCTGGGCACAGTGGCTCACGCCTGTAATCCCAGCACTTTGGGAGGCCGAGGCGGGCAGATCACAAGGTCAGGAGATTGAGACCATCCTGGCTAACATGATAAAACCCCATCTCTACTAAAAATACAAAAAATTAATTGGGCGTGGTAGTGGGCGCCTGTAGTCCCAGCTACTTGGGAGGCTGAGGCAGGAGAATTGCATGAACCTGGGAGGTGAAGCTTGCAGTGAGCCGAGATCACACCGCTGCACTCCAGCCTGGGCAACAGAGCAAGGCTCCGTCAAAAAAAAAAAAAAAATTTAATAAGGTGGTACAATTTTTAAAGTTGCAAATATGAAAAATGGATGATTTCTGCATGAAATAAGAAAAATTTGGTTTTTATTTGAGCAATTATAAGGATTTGTCATTTTTACATGCTGTCTCATCGTAGGTTATTTTCATTATTTAAGATGTTATTTGTATTTTAAATTATATTGTTGAGAATGCTATAATAATGTGTTGTAATTCTTGACATGTTGCCATCTCTGTTGGTGGACATCATCTCTGGGTGAGTGATTTGCTTGTAAAAAATTTGTTTTGATTTATTTACATTTTATATAGCATTGAGATTATATTGCATAGAAGAAAACTATCATTTTTCAGTGATAAATATTCAGTAATGATAATGTTAGCAATGGTATAGCTGTGAAATAAAATAATAAAATTTATAACTGTTTTCTACTTCTGTGACTTCTTCTAGATGTATTGAACAAAAATTTAAGCGCTGCCCTCCCCTGCCCACCACCAGTGTCATAATAGTTTTTCATAATGAAGCGTGGTCCACGTTGCTTAGAACTGTCCACAGTGTGCTCTATTCTTCACCTGCAATACTGCTGAAGGAAATCATTTTGGTGGATGATGCTAGTGTAGATGGTAAGAAAGCACATGCAAATTAAATTGTTTCCCAAATCCATATGGTGGTATCCCAAGTCTACTTGATTATATGGTGATCTCTCTATGCCATCTCAGAGCTTGAATATAATAGTTTGGATAGTGGGTATGCTGAATGAAATTAGAATCCAAGGATGGACATATTCAAATATTTTCAAATGCAGAAATGTATGAAACACCATTATTCATAACTGTATAGTCCTCAATGCGAGACTGTTATTGTAAGACATAGAGGTTAAGAGCACAGACTTGAGCCTTTGAGTCAGGCTGCCTTGATTTGAATCCCAGCTCTTTTCCTAACCAACTATATGACTTGGGCAAGTTACTAAACCTCTCTGCCGTGATTTATCAGTAAAATGGGAATAATGCCATATTTCATCAAATGTATTATATATCATTAATTTATAAATTACTAGAGAAAACCCACAGCTAATTAAACTTAGCATGCCATTGATTATAAGAAATTGATTATAAGAAGAATCCAATTATGTAGCTTAAAACTGAGGAAATACAGAACTGGTACATAACTTCTAGAGTTGTTTTAAAGTCTAAATGAGTTAATATAAATAATATATCAATAAATAATATAAATGAATAGTTAAAAATCACTAAAGAGTCACCGTGTTCTATTTTATTTCATTGTTCTTAAATATTCCAATATTACTTACCAGGTTAGCCAAATTCTTTAGTACATTTACACTTAAAATTGGAAGTCAAATACTAAATTACACATTTTAAATTGGAATCACAAGGTGAATTTAACAAATACTCTAACTTGTAAATTTTCAAACATCACAAGTATTTTAAATATTGTATCAAACAGATACATATTATTTCAATGATTACAAAATTTATTCCTTAATAAATCCAAGTTTGGAATCAGATTCCTGAAGGTCAGATGTCTCATTTTATCCTTCCAGCAATGTCTTGTGATGGTAAGTCCTACTATCCTCATCTTAAATAAACTGAGATGCAGAAAAGGTAAAATTCCTTGCCCAAGATCACATAGCTAAAAGTAATTGTGCTATAAAGTGAAATCAGGGCATCTGATTTCATGTAGCTTTCTGTTCTCAACCTCCCAAATAAAGGGTGTGCATGGGAGCTAAATTTAGGGTGCAGATATAAATTTACAGGAAGTTCCTGTGTTGTGGGTAAGTTAAAAGTTTTTTTTTAAACAAATTCCAACAGTGAGAAGGTATATTGAAGGAATCTGTAGTAACTCCATTTAAAATAATTCTAATCAAGAATGTTGAAATTTTTACAAGTCTCTTAAAACAGAAGATGTTTATGATTATGTATTTAAGATGAGTTAAAATTCTGCTTGTCTTTCTGAGAATTATATCCGAGGTAGTTAGAAGGTGTTAAAAGCTTAATCTGAGAATTATTTTGAGGTAGTTAGAAGGTGTTAAAAAGTTAATCTATCACTCTGAGACAACAGTGTTTAGATAGATTTATTTTTCCACAAGGGTTGTTCCTGCACTTACCTCTCTTATGAATGTTTAAGCTTTAAATAAGCAGCTCTCTTAACTGAACTACTGGAGAATTGAAAAAAAGGTTATATTATCACAGATAAAGTCAAAGTCATCTGCATTTGCTTCTAAAATCTGGCAGAAGAAAACTTTTACCCCAGGATATTTATTGATTTTCTTAACATTCCCAAATCTTTTTGAGGCTATGTTTTGGGCCCATGAAGGCTGCTTGAAGAACTGCATTTTGTACTCAATAAGAAATCAAAAAAGTAATTGTGAAAAGCAGGCTTAAGAAGTTGTTTCAGAATACGAACAGCTCGGCGAGTGGCTCAGCCTATAATCCGAGCATTTTGGGAGGCTGAGGCCTGCAGATAGCTTGAGTTCAGGAGTTCCAGACCGACCTGGGCAACATGATGAAACCCCGTCTCCAAAAAAAAAAAAAGAAAAGAAAAATTAGCTGGGCGTGTTGGCACATGCCTGTGGTCCCAGCTACTTGGGAAGCTGAGGAGAACTGCTTGCGGCCCAGAGGCAGAGGTTGCAGTGAGTTGTGCCACTGCACTCCACCCTGGACGACAGAGCACGACCTTGTCTCAAAACAAAACCAAACAAACAAAAAACAACACTTGATTGACATTTATTAATAACTTTTTAAAAACCTATTATCTCAATTTTTGCTTATTACAAACCTTATCCAATTTGGGATATTGAATATCTTAAAGTATATACCCAATACTAAAATTTGCCTGGTTCATATTTTACTAAATAAAACTCCGTCAGGAGACTCCAAAGCTTTCGCAGATTTTTCTGCTGATTCTATGTAGGAGTCGTCCGAAAATGCTGTAGCCGTGGACTTTCTGACTTGTCTCAACATTTTGATCTTAAATTATGTTGATCCTTAGTTAAATATGAGAGGTCTTTTGATATTTGACATTTTTCTTTAAGATTTCTAGATTTAAAAACGTCAAAGCATTGAATATCTTTTTGACCAAATTCCATATCTTTCACTCTGATAGTCAGTCTTCTCAGACCTCTAAATGAGTCTTCTGAACAGCTAGGGTTGACTCCATTTGAAGGTTCTCACTTCCCTCCCAACACATTATATTTATTGATAGGAAGTGTACAGAATAAGTATGTGTTACAGTGTTACGTGTTACAGTAGTGATCATTTGCATAGCTAGTCTTTTTCCCCAGTAAGGAGTTAAAGATAAAATTTTCATTTTACTGGAAGGACACATGCAACTGTTAAGATTATGAATTTGGAAGGATCATTACTCTGTGGTTTCATTAGCTTTCATAAGCTATATATGAAAATAAATTTAGAAAGAATTAATCCTGATTTGTTTTTCCTTACAGAGTACTTACATGATAAACTAGATGAATATGTAAAACAATTTTCTATAGTAAAAATAGTCAGACAAAGAGAAAGAAAAGGTCTGATCACTGCTCGGTTGCTAGGAGCAACAGTCGCAACAGCTGAAACGCTCACATTTTTAGATGCTCACTGTAAGTATATATGTATGGATATGGTTGTAACATTTTCCCTCCCTCTGTCTCTAATTTAAAAGGTAAGGAAGGCTTTTCTTTTCTAAATGCCTAATTGCATTTTCAACTGGTGATTATAGCAATGACAGCCCAAGCAGATAACAGCTCAGCGGAGAAAATTCCTTTCACTTATGCAGAATTCTTACCTCCTTTGTGTTTAAGTTTCCTCAACTTTAATGTTCTCCAGTTACTAGCTGTTCCAGCCAGTTATCCATGCCTAATTTTTTTTTTCATGTTTCTTTTCTGTTTAAAAAAAAAAAAAAAGTTGTTTTTTTTCTTTGTTGTTGTTTTTTGCATTCCCACACTTTGAGTGAAAGCTTATTTACTACTTAAATGTGGCGGGCACAGTGGCTCATGCTTGTAATCCTAGCACTTTGAGGCCGCAATGGGTGAATCACTTGAGGTCAGGAGTTCATGACGAGCCTCGCAGGAAGGTAGAACTCCATCTCTACTAAATACAAAATTAGCCAGGCATGGTGACGTGTGCCTTAATTCCAGCTCTTAGGGAGGACTGAGGAATGGGATCCTTGAACCTGGGGAGCAGAGGTTGCATTGAGCTGAGATTGTGCCATTGCTCTCTAGCCTGAGCGGGCAGAGTGGCACTCCTTTTCAAAATGAATGATGAATGAATGGATGAATGAATGAATGAATGAAGAATGAATGAATCCAACCTATCATTAAACTTTGTCCTAGTACTGCTGTTTTTTATATTTTAGTTTGGGTTTTTTTTTTTTTTTTTTTTTTTTTTTGCAGACTCCTTGGCATAAAAAGGAGCCTGCGAATTTTCAAAAAAACCCACAAAACCAAAATATGTTTATATATATAGTTTTTATGCCGGGTTAGGGGTGCCCCATCCCATCTTCTTTGGTATCCCTTACATAAACATTGTCAATTTTTGTTTGACTTTGTTGCTGTTGGTTTTTCTTTGTCCTTTAATTTTTTTCAGAGTCAAATTTTTTAAAGTATTTAGAAAGCATTTTTAGAGTCAATGTGTCATATGCATGCTAGTTATTACTAAAATGTCATTTAGTCCCTTGAGCTTTGAGTTTAGTGGGCTATACTCTATGAATGTCTAGCTTTGAATTGGCCAGTGCTTAGGTTATGTTTCACCCAATTACTGGTTTTGAGCACACACTGATTATTACAGAAGGGCTTTTGCATGTGCTTGGGTTGCTTAGAGCCATCACATTCAGTTCTCTTTTAATACCAGACATTTAGAAAATGAAGAGAAGACTAAAGGTAATCCTAGAGAGGTGTTTTAAAAAGGAAAATACCATCCTCTGGTATTTCTTCTCGTTGTTCAAAATTACAATAAGATCATACTGGACATTCTTACCCACTACCCACTGGGTGAATGTGTCTGATGGTCCTCCTGGACCATGACTGCCAAATACTGCTTTGTGGGGAGCCCAGAATAGGACAGCACTTCATTGGCTGAACTTGCTGTGTGTTATCTAAAACAACCTAGCCTGTGAGCAGGGCCCAGACCTATCTCAGCATGAAATTCCTTGGCCCTCCCTTTATATTAGGTCTGGGGCAGCTTTGAATGGTCCTTCTTCTCTAGTTGCTAAAATCGGAATTTATACTGACTCCTTATTTTCTCCTAAGACCCAGTCAGATAAATGAAAATTTCAATTACTGTACCTTACTCAGGGAGACACAAGTTTAAATAAATCAGAACACGTTTAGGGCCAGGTGACGTGGAACAGCAAAAAGCTACCTTTGATTCAAAGGTCATTTTAACACATCATCTAAACTTTAAATACACTAATGTTATTTTGCATCTTTTGTAGAAGAAAGAAGGTCATCATCTGTAGGGGAGTTTTTCTAACTGTACTGAATCTTGTTTCACCTTTTTCATCCTACCTTAATCTCATCACAAGAAACCTTTAAGAAATCTCACCTTCTGGGGATCAATTGTACAATGTGGTGATTGTAATTCATAATAATGTAGTGTCTACTCAAAAATTGCTAAGAGGAGATCTTAAATGTTCTTAACCACCCACTCCATAAGCCAATAAGGTGATGGATATGTTAATTTGCTTGATTGTAATAATCATTTTACAATGTATACATATATAAACACTATGATACACACTGTAAATATGTAGAATTTTTATTTTGTCTGTTATATCTCAATAAATCTGAGGGAGAAAGAAGTCTCCATTATATACATGTTCAAAACACAAATTGACTCTGTTATTCTCATTTCTCTGTAAACCTTCACCTAAATAACTAAATAACAAACTTCATTGTTTTTATTGAATTAGTTAAAATTCTGTTCCCTCCAGGTGAGTGTTTCTATGGTTGGTTAGAACCTCTGTTGGCCAGAATAGCTGAGAACTACACAGCTGTTGTGAGTCCAGATATTGCATCCATAGATCTGAACACGTTTGAATTCAACAAACCTTCTCCTTATGGAAGTAACCATAACCGTGGAAATTTTGACTGGAGTCTTTCATTTGGCTGGGAGTCACTTCCTGATCATGAGAAGCAAAGAAGGAAAGATGAAACCTACCCAATTAAGTAAGATGATTGCTCTCAGAGTTTTATATTTACACCCTGTACCATACATTGAATACGTACACACTGTTTGCTTTATAGCAATTGCCTCTGAGGTAATTGATAAAGAACACACATATTCTATATAAAGAGAATCTAAAAGTCATTCATTTGTGTACTCACTTACTCATAATGTTGCTGAGTAAGAGGTAGCAGTAAGTGAGCTCTTATGTCCTCCTCATCAATCATTACTTTAAAATCTTAAAGCATGATTAGGAGAAGACATTTAAGTTTGTTCCAATGGGAGCAGACACGAGGTACTCCCCCCGACCCCAAAAATCTTGACTTTGAAGATAGCATTTCTAGTTTTTATTAATCTGAATAAAAGCTTTGAAAACATGATATGGCTTTAATTTTTTAAATTTGATTCAGTTCTTAAAATATGCTGTTTTATCTTGTTTAGTTTTTATAACAAAATTTGACAATGGATTATTTTTCAGAACACCCACTTTTGCAGGAGGACTTTTTTCCATATCAAAAGAATATTTTGAGTATATTGGAAGTTACGATGAAGAAATGGAAATCTGGGGAGGTGAAAATATAGAAATGTCTTTCAGAGTAAGTTTATGAGAATTAAATATTGCAGATATATTAAACAATGAAATATATTGTGTTCTAATTGGCTGGTACAGATGATTACAGATGTGCGCACTCTACTTTTTGTGCTTTCTAAAACTTAATTGCTGGAAATTTTGGAATAAGAATATTTTCTTTTAATATGTAACTTAATATATTTGTTCATTGTTGCCAATGTAACAAGAGGAATCAGTTAAACTCCTGTGTCCAGGCAATAACACCAATTAATGCACTTGTAGCTACTGAATTCCAGCCAAGATAAATATAATTAAATCTAGTGCTTCAGGAAATGAGTTGATCATCAAGGGAGTTAGAATGGAAAAACATTTATGAATAATTTTAAAGGACATTGGACTTAACTGTTTGGATTGAATGAGCTGGATTTTTTCTATACATAAGTTAATATAAAAAAAGGCTTTGGGTAGACTCTGTATGTACCTTATGTATTTGATTTCATGAGTTTCATTTTCTGCAGTAACTTTATCATTCGTTTTTCATCTCTTAGGCTGGAATGTAGTGGAAAAAGAACTGAACTAGGAGTTAGAAGATTTAAGTTTTGGCTCTGGCTCCATCACATACTGGCAGTGATGATCTCAGCCAAGATTGAACTGCTTATGGCGGGGTCTTGTTTATTTATTTCAGTATTTCCAACCCCTAGCACATGTTGGGTCACAAGCACAGTTTGTTGAATTGAACGTATCACTGAGTCTTCTCATTTGTTCAAGAAAGAAAGGAGAGAAAGAGATTGTAATCACTTGCTCTACTACTAGCACATAGTATTAAATATGACTTATTTTCTGATTCTTTGCTTGGTAACTATGGCAGAGTCAATTATTAAGATATTTAAGTGAAAAGGCATTGATTTCATGATTTGCCATTTTATTTAACATTAATGCAAATCAGGGGTTTTTTGACATTTTATCTCTAAATTGGCATGAATTTTTAAATAATCATCCACTACTTTGCAAGTTCAATAGAATGGTCATTGGTAATAATAGCCATCTGGAATTGTTTTCTTAGTTACAAAATTGAATATACAAGAGGTAAATAGGATCTGAGTCCACTTCTACCCAAGCTTAGAAGAGAAACTCTAGTTTAAGTGAAGGGACTATGTTGGTAGTTCAGACGAAGTCAAATGTGTAAGAGCCTTTAGTTTTCTGTGCATATTAGAGAACTTACATAATTATTTGCAAAAACAAAAGCCTGGAATTCATTTTTATGAAAAATCTGAAATCACCATTTTGTTAACTTACTGAAAATGCACTTCTGTTGTCTTTAGTGTCTATGCCATTTAATGAAATAATTCCTTACATTTAAGAACTTAAGTTGAAATGGCAGGGGACAGAGACTATTTGTAATATTGTAATCTCTTCTTTAATTTTGTTTTTCATAATATCTTAAAGGTGAACTTAAAAGCAACAATTTGATTTTTCTAAAATACTGTAAATTTAAACAAATATCATTAATTATCAGGTATGGCAATGTGGTGGGCAGTTGGAGATTATGCCTTGCTCTGTTGTTGGACATGTTTTTCGCAGCAAAAGCCCTCATAGCTTTCCAAAAGGCACTCAGGTGATTGCTAGAAACCAAGTTCGCCTTGCAGAAGTCTGGATGGATGAATACAAGGAAATATTTTATAGGAGAAATACAGATGCAGCAAAAATTGTTAAACAAGTAAGTTAAAGCTAAGTAGTTAAACTGCAATAAAACCTATAACAAGTTCACATGTCCTTTTGCTTCAATTCATCTCAAGTACAAAACATCAAAAAATTTGAAAGTAGATTTTTAATTTTAACTCTTAAAGTACATAACTTAGGAATCCGAGTTTCCATTTTTAAGAAAAAAGCTAAATAAACTGCTTTTTAAAAATCAGGAATTCTACTTGATGTTTTTAATATGAAAGATATTTCTTTTCTTTTTTTTTTTTTTTTTTTTTTTTTTACTCAAAGAAAATTAAGTGGAACTGTTTTTACTGGTTTTAGGAGATATAACACCTAAATAAAAACACCTAAATAAAGGTTCTAAGTGACTTTTTGCACTGGAGATATAGTGTCTTAATGTGGCGTGAGAATAAACCAGGAGTGCCAAGCCTTTTTTTTTTTTTTTTTCCAAGTTCTAGTTTCACTACTTACTGGAGATGTTACTTTGGCAAAGCCTTTGAGAATGTAAAATAGGGAAGACACTTCATAGAGTGGCTGCAAGGTGGCTGGACATGGAGTGCATGCTTAACATGTTTCTTTTCTCTCCTTCTGTGTTTTAAGAGATGAAATACACATCCTGCCTCTCTCCCAGAGTAGCTGTGAAATAAGAAAGTGATAAGTGCTAACAAATATATGGTACTCTTGTTATTAACCTACCATAAATAGATTCTTTTCTGCAGAATCATGAAACTTAATATATTAGAAGTAAGTTCTAATAGTCTTACTAATACTAGATACGGTAAATTAACTAGATAGTTTAAGACCATGCTTCAGTGAATAGTACTCGTCTCTTTATAGGAAATAGTGCTAATTTGCAGGGCGAGGGAAGGTGGAGTATTTATTGGGAGTCAAGGGTATCAATATTTTGGCTGTTGTGGTAAAGAACGATTTGGTTACCTCTTTCGCCTTTTCTTTGGTCTCCAGTATCTCCCTGTTAGGATGCAAATTCAGAGCACTATTGAGTTAGATTGCTATCTTTTTACCCAAGGCCGTGAAGACAAAGTGATAGCACTTGGCTAAGCAGGCAAGTGGGCACTAAATGAAGCTTCTGCTCTGCTTGTCCCCCACAAAGGGGCACACAAGTCAGCAAATACCTGTTTGTTACCACAGGACACATAGATCTACATGGTAAATGTAATAAGCTAGCCAGAAGTCCTAAAGACTCATACTTTTTGCTGAAATGCCTGGGTTCAAGACATCGAAGTTGGCATAAGAAAATATTTTCTTTAGTTGAACTGATAAGATTGAGTATTTACTTTTGCATACATTTAGATATTACATGTACTTTTTCTCTAATATTTTGCCTGTAGGTCAGATACCTTGAAGTTTAATAATAGTTTTTTTTTTTTAATTATTTTCTTAGTCCCTTAAAATAAAGAAAAATAAAATTCATTTAACTTGAAAATTGCCTTTTTATACTGAAGGTTCAGTTGGGGATATTGTTAAGAACAAGCAACATCCTGAAACTAGAAAAGTTACTCCCAGTGGGTTATTTCTTGCTGGTGGTTTTCTGTGATCTCGATGGAGAAGAGATAGAAGTTGCATTGTGTATTGGCACAGTTTGTCTTTACCTGATTTCTCACACCTCACTTTGAAGATCACTTTTAGGTATAAAGTTGGGACCAATTTTGGATGCGCCTACCACCATTACTTTGCCCACAATGTTTTACTAGAAATCTTTGTCTTGTAGGGAATGTTTGTGGCACAAATGAAGAATAAAATAGCATCATTTTAGTATTTTAATCAGCACTGAAGTAGTCTTGACTGTCTTTTAAAGCCAGAAATGAACAGGCAGACATACTTTTTACTTGAATGAATGATGAAGGCTGTTGAATTGCCTCTTGAATTTTTAGCATGGATTTTTTTAAATACCTAAATAGAAATACAAATAGTAGCATTTTAAGTACTTTCTCAATGTTGTTTTAATTAAGCATTCCCTTCATTTCTCATCTTTCTACAGAAAGCATTTGGTGATCTTTCAAAAAGATTTGAAATAAAACACCGCCTTCAGTGTAAAAATTTTACATGGTATCTGAACAATATTTATCCAGAGGTGTATGTGCCAGACCTTAATCCTGTTATATCTGGATATGTGAGTATTTTCCTGTTCCTTTTTTACTTAATATACTCCTTGCCACCAACCTTTATGGTTCTAAGAAAATTGCTGAAATACTTTCTGGTTTATTGCTTTTGAGATTTTACATTATAATCATTAACATTACTTTCTAAGTTATTTAAAAAATATATAAACCACATGGATTAAAAAACTTTTCATAACTTGAAAATTTTCCTTTAGATTAAAAGCGTTGGTCAGCCTCTATGTCTGGATGTTGGAGAAAACAATCAAGGAGGCAAACCATTAATTATGTATACATGTCATGGACTTGGGGGAAACCAGGTGAGCACTCACTGCATTAAAAATCCTTCACTTGTAAAGCATTTACCAGCACAAATGAGATGTTGCCTATATTTCAGAAGTCCCAAAGCAGCTTTACACTTGGGTAAGCTGGTGTGTGAAATGTTTTTGGACTGAGTTTGGCAATTGATATTGATGAGTATTTTTTTGGTTTTTATTCTGGCTCTGAAAACAATTTGAGTAGCTTAACCATTCTAAGAAAAAAAAAAAAAAAAAAAAGGAGTCTGGGCAGAGTGGCTCACACCTGTAATCCCAGCAGTTTGGGAGGCTGAGGTGGGTGGATCACTTGAGGCCAGGAGTTCGAGACCAGCCTGGAGAATATGGTGAAACCTCATCTCTACTAAAAGTACAAAAATTAGCCGGGTGTGGTGGTGCATGCCTGTGTTCCCAGCTACTCAGGAGGCTGAGGCTGGAGAATTGCTTGAACCACGGAGGTGGAGGTTGCAGTGAGGCAAGATCATGCAATTGCACACCAGCCTGGGTGACAGAGTGAGACTCTGTCTCAAAAACAAACAAACACACAAACCAAAAAAAAAAAAAAGGAAGAAAAACGAAAATGAGAAAATAATAGAATAAGCCATTTGAATTTTTTTTAAAAAGAAACTTCTATTTAGCTCTTTGATGCTTTGACTTTTGTATGACTATTGGCATGATAATTTTGCAAGTTTACACATAAAGGCCACATATAACTGGATTGAATCACAAATTACTTCAAGTGTTAATAACAAAATAGAGCATTATAAATTAATTTTGTGGGCCACAATATTATTTCAATATGTTCCTCCTTCTCCCACAAAAGAGGATGATTCTCCTTGATTAGTGACATCCCTGCTTTACTACCTTTTGACGATTTTACTGATTAAGATTCAAATGTCAAATATTACTATTTAACGTGCCTATGGGTAGAGAACATGTTATATACAAAGTTTCTGTTTTTTTAAGCTTCCTTTCCTTACCTGTTGCAAATTAACTCCTGGAAAGATTAGACTATTTCTCTCATTTGTTCATTCAACAAATTAATTGAGTGAGCCCTGTATGCCAGATACTCTGAGGAGTTCAAGCTATTTAGACTCTAACTCCTTTAGGAAATTGGTAAACTAGCAGTTCCTGAGGATAAAGCATTCAGAGTGTTCTTGGGGTATAGAAAAGGGCATCTGAATGAGAGTGGGTGCCACACATTTTCCTGAGAAAGATGACATTTGAAAACATTAAAAAAAAAAAAAAAAGTAGGTAGGAGCTAGTGAGATGGATGTTGGGAATGGCAACAGAATAAGAAGAGTGTGAAGGAAAGTGAACTGAAGAGAAGAGCCTGGAGTATCTCTTATGGGCATTGCAGTTATTTCGATGTAGAGTCCAAGATGTATGTGGAGGAGTTTTGCAATAATTAATATCCATGATGTCCTATTTTAATGGGACGAAACTTTGAGATGTCAGTTTTAGGAAAAAAGAACCAGTTTATCTCCTGGTCCATCCTCTTCTGTATTTCTTCCTACCCATTAGGCTCAGCTTAATCTAGTTCTAATCCTTATTCACCTAAACCAATCTTTCTACTGAGGGCAGACGATACAGATGCCCAGAAACCAGAGCTGGTGAACTGGATCTATTGCTGGATGGTTAAGGTGTAATTCTGAAATAGGATGGAGATATATATGGACACATATAGACATACATACATCTCTACCTATATCTATATACATATATCTGTACATATATGTGTATGTGCATAAATCTATATGCATCTTTTTAAGAATGTTACCCTTCATATATTAGAAGAAAAATAGTTACATAAATAATTGCATTCTATGGAAATAACACTGATCTATGCTTGTAAAAATTAAGATTTTGAGCAAAAGGAAATATCTCTGCATTTGTAAAAATCTTATCACTAAATGTAAATCCTTATAAATTTCTCTTAGGCTTCTTCTAGCATTACATTTATTTCATCTTAAAAGCTGAGGATATATTGTACACATTGCTTTTTTCCATTTTTCTGTTATTGTCATAAAGATAATAACAGCTTTATGATAGCTCTGTATCAAAAATATGTTTATATTTTAAGTAGAATATAGCTATCTTTTAGAAATTGGGGGATGGGAAAAATTCACATATTCTTTCAATAAATATTTGTTTAGAACCTATAAAGTAGCTTGTAATGACTGTTACCGTAGTGAAAAGACAAAGCTCCTGATCTTGTGGAGCTTATGTTCCACAGGAACAAAGAAAAAAATATGTAGTTTTGGACATGAAGAAAAATATAGCAGGTAAGAGAATAGTGTGTTTTGGGGTGAGGTGGTTATTTTAAGAGGTGAAGGAAGACCTTTTTGGAAAAGCGACCGTAGAGTGGAGGCCTGAATACTTTGAGAGAGTGTTCCAGGAAAAGATGCTCATCTTGGAGGAAGGATTTCCACGGGTGGAGGCCCAGGGGCAGATACATGGAGAAAGCAGACAGCCAGTGTGCCTAGAACAGAGTGGTCTAGCAAAGAGAAGTAGGAAATGAGGTCAAGGACATTGATAAGGACCTGATCATGTAGGGCTTAACAGGCCCCATTAAGAAACTTGGACTTAATTCTGAGTTTGACAGAAATGGTTGAAGAGTTTTGAACAGGAGGATAAATATTATCTGGTGTACATATTAAATAGAAAAATTTGGCTTTTGTTACCCTGACACAGCTATTGATTTTATTTTGGTTCATTTCCTTGACATTTTATTTTTAATCGAGCATTGCACTTAAACCGTTTTGTAAATTTCAGTTCCCTGAGTGCTAAAATTTCGTGACATTATATAACTTGATCATTTTTCATGTTTCCTTTTACTTTTGATCAGATAATGTCTTTATAGCATAAAACTTCATTGTAACAGTATTCATGTATGCCAAGTAAAAATAAATATTTTGGTTATGTGACTAAGTTAGCCAATATTACTAGAGCAATGCAGTTTGAGTCATTATAACTTGATTATGTTTACTGCTTTGCCTCTTCCACTTTCTCTACTCGTTCTAAGTAATGGGCCTCTCCAACATTCTTAGCTATTCAATTATGTGCTCTTTTTTGTTACCAAAGTACTTTCAATATTTTCAATTTTTTATCATTTTTATTTTAATGACTTCTTAATAATGGGTAAAATACTTCACAGCCTTTGTTACCATCTTCGAGATCTTAAGGCTTCTCTTTCTTAGCCAAATATAGCTAGAATGCTATTTTCATCATCTAAACCCATTTTCTTCCAGTGTTTCCATCTGAAGAACTACTAGTTATAAAAATGACTGATGTTTTGCTTGTGGGCGGAGATAAATTAAGCATGAGACTAAGAGTAGGGAAACTCAAGATATGTGGCTCTGTGAATTCAGCAAATGTTTGTAGAGTGCCTGCTCTAATATACGTAAGGAGTTTAACACAGTGCCTGCCTCGCATGTAATAAGGACTTAACAAATACTAATGCTCCTACTAATTATTTCATTATTGAAAATCAATTATGTTAACTTATTTTATCTTTATAATGTCAATATTATGAAATATTGGATTTGTAATGGGTTTTATGACTCGATAAATTACCTGACTTCAGTCTATGGGGAAGCCAGCTCTATATACCACACACAATTCTAATACAGTGCTAGAAAAGTTATGTCTGATGTACTATGGGAACCTTGAAAAGAGTGTAATTTTGTGCAGCAGGGCAAAATCAGGCAAAGCCAAAGAAGGAAGGTAATATTTGAGTTGGCTCTTGAAGGATTAAAAAGGAGTTAGCCAGGCAGAAAAGGGTCAAAAATATATTCCAGGCAGAGGACAGACTGTAAAGCAAAATCTTAGAATTATAGATACACATGTTCTGATTGGTGGAATTGTGTGAAAGAAGCATAATATATAACTGGGGCAATGGTTGATGCAAGATCAAAAATGATAGATTTCATGTACCAATTAAGGAGTGTGGACTTTTATCTCAGCAACAGTAGTGATTCACTTAAGCAAGGGCAGTCAGGGATCAAACCAATGTTATAAAAGACTATCTGGCAGCAGATTGGATTACTGGATGATAGGAACAGAAACTGGAGGTAGCTCTAGGTGTTTCAGTAAAATTCTGAGAGTCTGAGTAACAGAAGTGAGTACACGGAAGTAAGAATGGATGGGATGTTAACATCTGAGAGAAATAGAACAGCTAAGGGACGAATTATTTGGATATGTGGAAAAAGAGAAGCATCAATAGTAACAATAGCTAAAATGTATGAAAAGTCACCATGTGCCAGTCATTGTTCTAAGTGTATTATACATATTAACCCACTTATCTTCATAACCCTATGGGGTAGGAACTAGTAAATTATCCATTTTCAAGTGAGAAAACTGAGGCATTGTGAACACCCTGAAGTCCCTAGTTTAGTGAAAACACCTTTAATTGAGATGAAGAAGAGCAATGGAACACTTGTGGGAGAGAGGCAATTAAAGTGCTTGTTAGCTCTTCATTCCCTTTTCTGAGGAATGCCTGGGGTAGTCTCCATTCTCCTTGATAACTTCCAACTTGTGGTATGGGAGGAAGACAGTACCTTCTTAATGAAGTAACCAACTGTTGATGAAGGAAGGCTATTGTATCGTCTATCATAAAAACTCAGTGTATGTTTCTGATAACTATTTTTATTGTATTATTTTGTTGAAATAGAAATGACTTCATTATTTAATGAGGTGCTGATTTATTTATTTATTTTGCAACTGAGCACATGGGTTGCTTTTGTCAATAACAGTGTATTCCTTCCATAGTACTTCGAATACTCTGCTCAACATGAAATCCGGCACAACATCCAGAAGGAATTATGTCTTCATGCTGCCCAAGGCCTCGTTCAGCTGAAGGCATGTACCTACAAAGGTCACAAGACAGTTGTCACTGGAGAGCAGATATGGGAGATCCAGAAGGTACCTCAGTGCAATTAATTCATCTCTTAAACTGTTTTTCTTAGCTCTACTTGCTTATCTGGGAAAATGAGTGGAACATGGTACATTAATATTATCTATCAGAATTTCTCTCTTTATTAACTTTGTTGTTATGTGTTTCTACCCATGTGATAAGAGAATATATCTATGAATTAAGTACTCTTAGTAACAAAACATTAAGTTGCTTGGTTGAACCATGATGCAGATGAGCACTTCTGTGAATTATTATTAGTCGCTTGCTTTTTACAATTTAGGGTTTCTTATAATGCTTTTGGCAACAGTCATATTTTTTTTTCTGGCAGAGAGAAGAAAAATTATTATATCTTCTCACTTGAAGAGATTAATTTTTTTCTACCCTGTTTTAGCACTTTTTCATGAACGTAGAATTGAGAGAATACATAACAGGTCTATTCTGTTTTTAAACATGTTTAAGGCTTAGCTGTATTGTAGCAATTCTTACCCGAACATTGTTTTGTGCAATACTAGAAAACCTTAACACTGGCTTTTATGATTTATGATGTTTTTAAGAGTTTGTCACTTACGAATATATCAAGGGAATACTTCTTGTTTGAAAATGTGATTCAAACCTTGTTCTGTCTGCCTCTCTTCATTATGTAATACCTTACTAATTGAACAGTAGTAGCTTAAAAAGGTGGCATTTTCACTAGAAGTCAAAAAGAGTTTATCAGACATGGCTCACCTTAGAAAGATTTACTATTAGGTTTGCTTCAATGAAGCCATAAAATCTTTTTCATATTTATCACTTAACTATGAGTCTTGAAATTTAATGTCTGTTGTTTCCTTTTATTCTAGGATCAACTTCTATACAATCCATTCTTAAAAATGTGCCTTTCAGCAAATGGAGAGCATCCAAGTTTAGTGTCATGCAACCCATCAGATCCACTCCAAAAATGGATATTTAGCCAAAATGATTAAGTGTTCCTTAAAATTAAGTTGAAAAAGGAGACATTCTTTCTCATAAAACTGTGACTAGGCATACACTGTAGGTTTTGAAAATTATGCAAAAGCAGCTAAATGTAACTTATTCCAAGTGCATTTTTCTTATTTATATCTTAAAATATCTATGTAGCACTACTACAGAAATTCTGCAAGTTTCTGTTTCAAAGCACAGTAACTAGTAATACCAAAGACTATTTCAAAATGTCCAGATGTAGGGGAAGAGATGTTTACAGTATGATGAAAATAATTTTCGAAGTAAAGTGATGTTTGTGTGTTTTGTACACTTAGGGATATATATAGCTACATTCACACACTCACAATTTAAAATATTTCCCCTAGTTTTTTGGGGGGATAGGAAGAAAGATTTGTTACTGTATTTTTTTAACTATATAGAAATAGATCAATGAAGGTCAGCATTGGCCTCTGTGTACAAACCAAGAGCTTTTACAGATCCAGAATTTATTATTTTAAAATGCAGGTGAATTTTTTTTTTGCCTTTGGTTTACTTGTCTGCTAAATGTTTCTTTAAACATGAAACTGAATAAGGAGAGGAGTATTTTTAACACTTAAATTTCTTGGAAATTTTTAAACCATTTTTTCTGCAACCCACTCCACTTGAAGCACTTAAGTCTTCCTTAAATGACTTTTCTTAAGTAACGATACTGTGTGTTTTCCCAAAGCACTTTTAAAAACACTTTTATAAATTACTATCTGTTGAAAAGGTGTCCTTTTCCTTTCTGCTAGTGTTTTTTTTCTTACCAAAATTCACTAATCTTGAATGTTTGTGATATTAAATTTCAAATGCAGAATACTTGACTCATTTAAAGCTAAATTTTGTTACTGATTTAATTATAATTGTAATGGATTTTTGACTTTGTAATGGATTCTTTTCATCAAAAAGCCTTATTTTTTATCTATATAGAAAACACAATAAAAAGTCCTCAACACTATTGTAATTATTTGATTAAGTGTTTTTTCTCTTTTGGGTAAAATCTATAATTGATAATAGGTGGGGGAAAATGAATTTTATATGCTGAATTTCTAAGCACCTATCGTTTTTAAAGCCATCAGATATTTCTTGAGGCACAAAAAATGAGGAATAGCAAAATTTCTGTGTTCAATATTTAGAAAATTTTGTGTTAATTTCTGATACTTTTCCTTGAGCATCTGATAGATGACTTTTTTAAAAAAAATTGATGCTTGCTTAGGAGATTTAATACTTTTTTTTTTTGGTTTTGGTCATTTTATATTTAGATCTATTGTATTCTTGTTCCAGAAGTAAAGTATGATTGGTTTCATATTTTAAATCTGGCAAAGCCTCAGCTGTACAAAAAAGAGCATATGTTGGTTATTGACCCCATCTTCTCATTGTTTGTTTGTAGGTTTGAATTTGTATTAAAAAGCCTGCGTTCCAAGCTGGACATGGTGGCTCAGCCTCTAATCCCAGCACTTTGTTAGAAAAGGTGGGAGGATCATTTCAGCTCAGGAGTTCCAGACCAGCCTGGGCAACATAGCAAAATCTCATCTCTACAAAACATAAAAATAAAAAAAGAAATTAAAAATAAAATTAGATAGGTGTGATGGCACATATCTGTAATTCCAGCTATACAGGAAGGTGAGGCAGAAGCATTGCTTGAGCTTGGGAGATTGAGGCTACAGTTAGCTATGATTACACCACTGCATTTCAGTTTGTGTGACTGAGCAAGACTCTTTCAAAAAAAAAAAAAACACAAAGCCTACATTCTCCAATTGATTATTTCAACTAATGTGTATTATGTGCCTAATTTTCTACCAGAAGTTGTATTAGTCTGTTTTCACACTGCTGTTAAAGACATACCTGAGACTGGGTAATTTATAAAGAAAAATGGGTTCGATGGACTCACAGATCCGTGTGGCTGGGGAGGCTTCACAATCATGGCGGAAGGTGAAAGGCATGTCTTACATGTTGGGAGACAAGACAGAATGAGAACCAAGTGAAAGGAATTTTCCCTTATAAAACCATCAGGTCTCGTGAGACTTACTCACTATCACAAGAACAGTGTGGGGGAAACCACCCCCATTATTCAATTATCTACTACTGGACCCCTCTCACAACATGTGGGAATTATGGGAGCTACAATTCAAGATGACATTTGGGTAGGAACACAGCCAAACCATATCAGAAGTGCTGGTAGACAGAGTAAGACTTGTTACTGCTTTTGAGCTATGTCTCATGGGTCAGAAAGAAAGGCAAATAATTTTAAAGTAGATAGTACCAGTAGGCATTAATATCCATGAGCATATATTTCTCTTAGAGCTTATATCTCTAAACACAAAATTATTTCTCAAATATATTTTATAAATGAACTTAAGAATATTTTTTAAAAAACCAAAGTGAGTGCCCTGCATGTATCACTCATATGTTGTCATATCATGATCCAACTGAAATGTACTTAGATTAGGTTGATATTATTATGGGAAAGTCCTTCTTACCTGATTTGGCAGCCTCAGGCTATTGCTCAAATTTCATACAAATCACGTCATTAAGGACTGGACCTTTAGGGTAGGCAGTGCCTTTTAAAAGTCTGAGTTTTGGAACAATGATAACAGGGAGTTATTTATGGAGCCTGGCTGCCATCCACCTGAGACTTAACTGCACTCAAGTGTGAAATTGTGGAATTCTTGCTCAATTTGAAGCTGCCATGGCAAATGGTCTGGTTGCTACAGAAGACCTGGCATGCTGCCTTCATTCCAGAGGACCAAGTCCTAAGAATTCTAGGTTGGTAAGCTGCACTGCCAAATCCACTAGGGTTAACCTGATGGGCAAGTCCACTGAAATCTGAGAGGGGATCACATAGTTAACTATAGGAGAAAATAAGCAACACACTAAAATTGCCTATTACTATAACCAATGATGATGGATTTTTTTTAAGCCCTTATATTACCAGAGACTAGTCTTGGACAATTTAGATAAGTACTTTATATACCATCAAAATATAAGTGCAAAAAGGACAAGGTTGACTTTATAAGAAAGGCTAGAAAAAAGTCAAATCATTTTTAAAATGCTGTTATGTGTAGATGAGAATTTTAAAAGATAGGGAAAACAAAAATCTAGGAAGATTCTGTACTCAGATTGCTTCACAATTCACTTTAAAGACAGCAGAAATAAGTATCTTTAGACAATGCATTTTTAGTACGCTTTGTGCAGGAAAGATGTTTGCAGAACTCTCAGAAACCAGTTCATACTCCAATAAAAGGCCTTGACTCTACAATAGAATATCTGTGAAGGAATTAATGTACATACAAACGTAGCGGAGTGTGTGTGTGTGTGTGTGTGTGTGTGTGTGTATTTGAAATTAAAATATTTGACATCTTTTTTATGAATTTATATTTTAATTACCTTTCCCAAATTATCAACCTACCCAATCTTCCCTTTTGCAATCCTACAGTCCTACCTTCTCCATATCACCAGCCCAGCTGCTAAAGAGATTCCTCCTGCACACATAGTCCCTCTTGCTCTCCCGGCTTCCACAATATCTAGGAAATTTTTTGTGTCTGCTTTAGGGATTTTATTAGGCACCAGACACTAATAATATACAAAATAGTCCCCATCTGAAGGCAGAGAAAGTTATAGTTTAGTAATGTGCTCATCAATGTGGTCTCATAATGATGTTTTAAAGAGAAATAGTCCCATGATGAATTCAACATATTCACCTTCTGGTGAGTCCACTGACAAGAGCTAGAGGAGAAAACAGGCATCCCATATTTTAGAGGTAAATAATTAAAGTAATGCTTCTTAAACCTTATTGTACACACAATAGTAAGATTCTGATTGATTAAGAATCAATCAGATTGAGTAAGATTCTGATTGATTAAGCCTGGGGTAGAGCTTGTAATTTTGTATTTCTGACAAACTTTCAGGTGATACCAAAGCAGCTGGCCCTGGTACCACACTTTGAATAGAAAGGCTACCCAGTGAACTAATGCCCAGGGTTCTCTGAGACTACCATGATGATTCTGACCATGCTTGACATCCATAATTA